ACAAGTCCGGTAGGACCATCCCGAGCTCTTGCACCTCCCTAGTGGCCTCTCCGGCAACACTGTTGAACGATGACAACATTACCGACGGCAAGAAAGAGGGAGAGAATAATTTGCGAAATAAGATAAAAATTTCCTTATTATTTTTCCAACTCTTTCACCCTCTCTTCTAAAATCAAATTTTCAAGATTTCAAAAACTTTCCTTCTATATCTCTTGCACGTCCCTCTTGTACGGACTATCTTCTTCTCCATGAAACCAAATGCGTCGAGGAGGGAGGGGAGAGGAGAGAGGGGAGAGAGAGATCGAGAAGGAGAGAGCGAGATCGAGAAAGACGAGATCGAGATCGAGAGAGCGGTGAAGAAATGGTGATAATAACGAAAAAAACGGGATGGTTAGGAAAAAAAGGGTTGTTTTTTTTTCTTTACTCCACCAAATTTAGTTAAATTAAATTTTAAATTTAGGATTAAATGAGCAGATTTATGGGGAAGAGATTAAAGAAAAAATAGGAATTTTTTTTTTATACTTCCATCTAATTAGATAAAAATTTTAAATTTACGATTAAAGAGTACTACCTAATTAAATTATAAATTTGAATTCTAATCCTAATCAAAATTAGGGGAGATATTAAAGGAGAGATTTATGTTAATTTTTCAAATGACTCGAAACAATTAAGAAAACAAATCTAAATTAAATTTCAAATTTGAATATACTAAAATTAATGCGATTTCAATTATAATTTTAAATTTTAGTTAAAAAATCTTCAATGCTTAGTATTTTAAATTTGAGATTTCGTTTCTCTCCATTCCAAATTTTAAATTCGTTTCTCACTTAATTATTCTCGCTCTCGCTCACTCATCTCTCGTTTTCTCTCTCTCGCTCAATTGTCTCTCTCGCTCAATTGTCTCTCTCTCAACTTTCTCTTATTCAACTCTCTCTCTCTATCTCCTTCCCCAACTACGACTTTCTCTTATTCAACTCTCTCTCTTCATCTCCTTCCCCAGCTACGACTTTCTCTTATTCAACTCTTTCTCTCTATCTCCTTCCCCATCCCATCGTAGCTTTCTTCCTCTCCTGAGCCTCTTTGACGAACGACGTCCCTCGTTGGCTTTGATGCATCCGTCGTCGGCGATTGTTGAAGGTCACGGGAATTATGGAGGCTGCTATTTAAAAAATGGTGAGAGATTTAGGTTTTTTTTTATGGTAGAGTAAACAAGAAAAAACTCTTGCTTGTGGAAGACATGGAAAAGAGGAAGAGGGAAGAAAAAAGTCTGGAAAAGGAGGAAGATGGAGGTAGAGAGAAGAAATAAAGAAAAAAAGAAATAAGGGAGGAAAATCTAAAGGGAGGAAAACTAAAAACTTTTGGTAGTAGAGTAAGGAGGGGCATAAGAGGTCATTGACAAGGTAGGTGATGTCACCAATAACTAGAAAACTGGTGTTTTGAGAAGAGCGATTAAAAAACTTAAGAGGKCCTTATAGGAAGCTTATTTCGTCAATTTTCCCACGATAATTATAAGATAATGAAGTTGTTGGACATATGGTTTATGGATTTTGAAAATCTATTCCAATAATCGCTTGGACGTATGTAGATGGTGTAGATTTGGAAGAGGAGGTCGATGAATCTTCGTTATTTAAACAACAATGAAGGGTTTCAGTGACGAAAACATTTTGTCGCTGAAGAACATCGACGACAAAAGAATTTTCGTTGCAATTTTCATCGCTAAAACTAAGTCACTGAAGATGTAAAGCGACGAAAACGCGCGTTCGTCGCATATTGGTGACGAAAATGTAATTTTCGTCGCATATGCAACGAAGCGTATTTTCGTCGCAAATGCGACGAATGCGGTTTTTGTCGCATATGCGACGTAACTAAACATTTTGCGTCGCATTTGCCCTTCTGCGACGAAAACGCCTTCGTCGCATTCTGACCATATTTTCCCATTACAATTTTCCTTATTTGCAAGTTTTCCTTGTTTTTTCATTTCAATTCTCCTTATTATGCAAAGTCAACACAAATGTCTAATCGACATCAAAATTCGTCGCTAAATTTAAAGTATTCAACTTGTAAAATTACTTAGATAATAATACCAATTTCATTAAACAATATATGACATTGAAAACATATACAAATTTCTGTAAATAAAAATAATTCAATTAGAGTACCTGCATATAGAATGAAATTTTTGAAAATTAAAACAACAAAATGTCTACCTAAATTTACAAATAACATTCTCCCTCCAATCGAGCAAAGGTTACAAAATATGTTTCCACCATACATCGTTGCATCAGTCCTATACAAAGAATTGCATCAACTATTGTTGTAGTACAAGTATTAAAGCCTACACTAATAGACAAAATTAAACAAATATACTAAACCAATTTCAGAAACACACCTCCTTTGTCAAATAAACATATATAGAATAAAAAACTAAAAAATCCAACTAATTTCATAAAATTGAACCACAAAAATATTTATGTTTTCCTCATTCAAACCCGATAATAATAAAAAACAAATGGCATAAGTAACTATCACAAAATCTATCAAGAACTATTCAAGAACTTATGCACTTACTTAAAACCCACAAAACCCGAGGAACACCTCCTTAAACCGTACCCCCCTCGTCATGAACTACCTCTCGCTCTTCATTATGATATAACTCCACATACGCATAATTCAGAAGACATATAGCTGCCAATGCTCTCTCTAATTTTTGTTGCGTCTCCTGCTGTTGAGTCTCTTGTTGTTGAGCCTCCAATGCTTCCTCGGTCCTTGCTAGGCGAGACTCCAATGATTGGACGTAGTCCCATGAGTATTGTGATAATGCTTTACTTGTGGGGGGTCTTGGTCCATATCTCATTCCTATTAAGTAATTTGATCTTTTTCCAAGCACCTTCATCATAATTAATTGGGGTTTGTGGTGGTCCGTAAGAAGCATGATAGACTTGTAATATAATCATTTCTTCTTGAAAAAGCAATGGTGTCGTCAGGAATTTTGAAATATATCCTACATCACTATGTAATAAAATATTAAAAAAATACTTACATATGCAGCTTTGGCCTCCGAGTTAATCCAATTTTTTTCCATGGAATAATGTGTCTCATAGAATATTTGAATGCGACTTAAATATGTCCCATCTTCTTTTTTCTATTCCAAGAGATTATTAAACCATAGTAAGAAAAATAGGAACTTGAAATGTAGAACCATGATAATTCAAATAAATGATATGTTCATACCTTATCTTCTCAATGACACTGAAATGGCTTCGGTCCACCTCAATGGTTGAATCTAAATTTACTACGCGGTAATTTATTTTTTGCAGACTTCTCCTACAAAAATGAATATATAGTTTCAAAATTTTATTTATAAAAATGGTAACTTCGAATCAACATGATACTGTAATTCCTTCCATGCTGGAGATTCCCATCTATCGCATAAAACATTCCAGTCCTTGGGTTTAATGTCTCGATAGGGTTTTTGGCGAGCACGTGCTGGATCCCTAAATTTCATATTATATTAATGTGTTGATGCGTGGATTTTGGTCCTCCAGTTCACTACCTCGCATCCACCAAACTTGTTGATCCGGGACTAGTACCTACAAAACCAAATCGAGCTAAACCGGTGTGACTCTAGTCACACGGGCTCCGATGCTTAAGTTAGCAAGAGAATAACGTAAATGTAGTCAACTTTAGATGCCTCTACCTCTAAGGCTAGATCGCTACTTATAGTCGTCAAGTTGTTTCAGAACTTTCCATAGGTAGCTAACCCTAATTTCGTTGGCGGGCCTGGGCGAAACCGTGGACCGAAGACGAAGGGTCGCTGGAGGGCCGTGGGCCGAGCCACGGGTCGGGACCGAGCCCTGGGTCGGGACCGAGCCCCAGGTCGGGACCGAGCCCTTCGTGGCTCAGTGGGCTTCCCTCCGGTGGCTTTCCTCGTTCTCTGCCCCGACGTTAGGTCACTCTTTGGGCCGACCCGTTATGTCACAGGCCGGTCTTTCCCAATCAGACTTCAACTCCTTGTCTCGTTTCGGGTCATTTTCGTTCTCCATAACAATGGCCCCCACTCTCAAAACAGAAGACGAATAATTGTGTAAARATCTTTGKTTTGAGAGTACTTGTCGCTTTGTCGTTACCACGAGATCATTGTATATCAGTGGCTAAAAATGGGAAGGTTGCTAACGCATAGGGCTTCTACCAAAAGCTTTTGATCCAATTTCGGATCTTAGTGCTTGGTTCCTGYCACTGGTTTTGTGCCTTGAACTTGTCSATACTATTCATGAATTGGAAGTTTTTCCAATTTTCKTTGACCATAATCAAGTCTCCTGAGCYTGGTTTTATTCTCATCTGAGTTTAAACCATTTTRGCCTTGGGATCTAACTTTAACAGAAMTAATGTCGATACCTTTGGGTTTCTAACCTATTTGGCTTTTGCCYATGTTTTATAYCTCAGGGTTTACTCTCGGGTTTYTAACCCACTTGGCTTTTGCCAATGGCCTTTATACCCTGAGTTTAGTCGGTACCCTTARGTTTCTAACATATTTGGCTTCTGCCGGTTTTTTACCCCAAGTTAAATCAACACCCTCGGGTTTTTAACCTATTTTGGCTTTTGCCATATGATTTTCTACCCGTGGGTTTCGTTGATCGGTTAGRCTTGCCTRTTTTCTGTTTTAACCTTGYTGGGCCCGTACGCATGCCTTCCTYAGCACCTCGGGATTCTTTTCCCTRGTTTCACTKATTGGCTTTCAGCTTATCGGCCTGCTTCTAGGTYCGTCCCAATTTTGAGTTCCTTGATWGGTCGTAGATATGTAGATGTTCAGGTCRWAGATATGTAGATATTTATATGATGCCCCCTGCTTGAGAAATTTATTTCAGAATGAACATAAGAACTCAAGTATCACGTCGAATGTCGAATACTTTATTAGTAGGAAAATCGTCCTGTCGAAGATTTGGTTACAATAAGCTTAGTTGGTCCAAATAATGGAGAAAAATGTCTAGAAATATGTCGAACTAGTGGTAGTATCTTTTRAGGTGTTGKGYGTGCCAYGGGTGTAGTAAGGCCTTCCCCCGCTGGTCTTCTAAAGCATAAGTGCCTATTCGCACYACTTTAGTGAYTTTGTATGGKCCCTCCCATGTTGGCCCGAGCGCACCRCTAGTTGAATCTTTTGTATTGGGCATAACCTTTCTTAACACYARATCACCTTCTTTAAAGTCACGTTTCTTGACCTTCGAGTTGTAGTATCGAGCTATTCGATTTTTGTATTCAGCCGTTCGTAGTCGTGCTGTTTCTCGATGTTCTTCTAATAGGTCGAGGTTGAGCTTTACGGATTCGTTGTTGTCAAGTAGAGTGAACTGCTCTACCCTTGGGGAAGGGAGTCCGATCTCGACTGGCACTACCGCTTCAGAGCCAAATGATAATGAAAATGGCGTTTCTCCTGTCGAAGTACAAGGTGTCGTTSTGTATGCCCATAATGCGTTGGGAAGTTCCTCTGCCCACAACCCTTTGAGCTTTTCTAATCTGGTCTTCAGAGTTCTTTTGATAACTTTGTTGACTGCTTCAACCTGCCCATTAGCCTGCGGATGTGCTGGCGAGGAACAGATGTGCTTAATGCCCAACTCCCTGAAAAATTCTCGAAAGGCAGCATTGTCGAACTGCTTCCCATTATCACTGATAATGGCGTAGGGTATTCCGAAGCGGCAAATTATGTTCTTCCAGATGAAGTAGGTGACCTTTTTCTCAGTAATTGTCGCTAGGGCTTTGGCTTCGGCCCACTTAGTAAAATAATCGACTGCCACTACTGCAAATTTGGTCTGGCCCTTTCCTAGTGGGAGAGGCCCTATAAGGTCTATTCCCCACTGAGCAAAGGGCCATGGACTCATTATGCTTGTCAGAGGCTCTGGCGGTTGTCTAGGTACGGTTGCAAACCGTTGGCATTTGTCGCATTTTTTGGTGAATTKCTTCGTGTCATTCAGCATGGTCGGCCAGTAGTACCCTTGTCGAATTATTTTGTGACTTAGGGATCGTGCTCCAGAATGGCTCCCACAAACACCCTCATGTATCTCTCTCATGACGTAGTCGGCTTCATCGGGCGTTAGACATTTTAAAAGCGGCAACGAGTAGCCTATTTTGTACAGATTGTCGTCTTTAAGCACATATCTGGCCGCTCGTCGTTGTAGTTGCTGGGCCTCTATCTTTTCAGTAGGCAGGATCCCATCTTTCAAATATTTGATCAAAGGGCTCTTCCAGTTTTCTTCTGGTTGCCCTTGATTGTCGATATCCATGGCTTCCTGAGCTTCTATGCTTGGCCCGGGTAGAATCTCGACCGGTACAGTTCTGCCTAAGTCGGTTTCATAAGCCACAGCTAGTCGAGCTAACACATCGGCGTTGACGTTTTGAGCATGTGGAATTTGTCGAATCTCATATTTTGAGAACTGGTCGAGCTGGTTTCTTACTTGTGAAAGGTATTTCGCCATTCGCAGTTCTCTAGCCTGGAACTTCTCTTTCACCTGACCCACAATCAGCTGTGAATCACTAAGTATTAGTATGTTCCTGACCCCAACGTACCTGTACACTTTTAGTGCTGCTAGTAGAGCTTCGTACTCGACTTCGTTGTTGGATGCATGAAAGTTGAATTGCAGCGCATATTCGAATCTTTCTTTATCTGGAGAGATTAGTAGGAGTCCTGCCCCGCATCCCCGAAAATTTGAGGACCCATCTACGTAGAGTGTCCAGAGTTGTTCTTCCTCAACCACTTGTGGGTCGATACTATATACTTGAGGCTCTATTGGTGTTAATTCCGCTATGAAGTCTACCACAACTTGCCCTTTCATGGCAGTTCTTGGCTTATAGTGAATGTCGTACTCGTTGAGCTCTACAGCCCACTTTACCAGTCGTCCAGAAGTTTCTGGCTTTTGTAAGATCTGTCGTAAGGGAAAGTTGGCGAGGACCATTATTTTGTGAGCTTGGAAATACGGGCGTAGTCTCCGAGCTGAAGTGACCAATGCCAATGCCAGCTTCTCCATTGGTGGGTATCTAAGTTCTGCATCTACCATTGCTTTGCTTGTGTAGTAAATTGGGGACTGTCGTCCATCTTCTTCCTTTATTAACGCGGAACTCACCGCAGTGTTGGATACAGCTAAGTATAAGTAGAGCTYATCACCCACGATCGGCTTTGCGAGGAGTGGAGCTGCCCCTAGGTWYTGTTTCAGCTCCTTAAAGGCAGCCTCGCACTCTTCCGTCCATTCAAATTGTCCTTTSTTCCKTAAGATTYTGAAGAATGGTAGGCACTTGTCAGTGGAACGGCTAACGAATCTGTTKAGTGCTGCTATCCTTCCATTGAGTCCCTGCAGCTGCTTTAGAGTTTYAGGTGGATCCATSTCCAGAACAGYTTTGATCTTATCTGGATTGACTTCGATTCCCCTTTGGTGCACTAAAAATCCCAGGAACTTGCCTGAGGTCACTCCAAACGTGCATTTGGTGGGATTCAACTTCATCTTGTACTTTCGCAAGATGTCGAACGCTTCTGCCAAATCCTCCTCGTGTCGCTCGTTCTTTCGACTCTTTACCAGCATGTCGTCTACGTAGACTTCCATATTTTTGCCGATTAAGGCTGCAAACATCCGATTCACCATTCGTTGGTAGGTTGCACCTGCATTCTTTAATCCAAACGGCATCACGGTGTAGCAATACAAGCCTCGACTCGTGACAAAAGAGGTTTTCTCCTAATCCGGTACATGCATCTTGATTTGATTATATCCAGAATAGACATCCATGAAACTCAATCTTTCATGTCCTGCAGTGGCATCAACCAGTTGATCTATTCGAGGCAAAGGAAAAGAATCCTTTGGACAGGCCTTATTTAGGTCCGTGAAGTCGATGCACATTCTCCATTTGCCGTTTGGCTTCTTTACCAGCACCACGTTGGATATCCACTGGGGATAATGTACTTCCCGAATGAAGCCTGTTTTCAGTAGCTCATCCACCTGTTCAGCTACAATCTCGTTCTTTCTTGGTTGAACGCGCGACGCTTCTGTTTCACTAGCTTACAGCTCTCGTCGACGTTGAGTCGATGTACCATAACTCCTCGGTCGATTCCCGGCATGTCCTCCGGTGACCATGCGAACACATCGGCGTTGCTTCTGAGGAAGTTTATAAGGCTTTCTCTCTCCTCACTCCCCAACTTGGTTCCGATGTTGACCCGTCGATCTTCGGCTGTCAGAGGGACAGATTCTACCTCCTCAGCCGGTTCTTCCCTGTCAAGGGTGGTCGAATTAAGTCGATGACCAGGGCTCGGCCTTGCCTCTCCCGAAAGGTCTGTCGCTTTAATCAGGCCCGCCACTGGTTCTCCCTTATCAAGGGTGGTCGGATTAAGTCGATAACCAGGGCTCGGCCTCGCCTTTCCCGAGAGGTTTGTCGCTTTATTCAGACCCGACACTGGTTCTCCCCCGTCAAGGGTGGTCGGATTAAGTTGACGATCAGGGCTCGGTCTTGCCTCATCTAAGTGATCGGCCGCTTCTTTCAGGCTCTTCTCTTCGAAGCACCGATGGCTCTCATCAGGATTCATGTCGCTTTCGGACCAAGTCGATGATCAGGGCTTCGCCCTACCTTGCCTGAATGGTCGGCCACTGCACTCTACACGCCTTGGATCGAAATTTCACGTTAGATTGGGATTTTGCTTCGACGAAACTCGTTTTGCTGTATCGTCCCCACAGACGGCGCCAATTGTTGATGCGTGGATTTCGGTCCTCCGGTTCACTACCTCGCATCCACCAAACTTGTTGACCCGGGACTAGTACC